AAATAATATTATTCAAACTCCTTCTCAATGTTCGTATTGTGGTGCAGAATTACATCAAAATAAAAAATTGTTTAGATATAAGAATCAAGATTGTTACAAAGCAATTTCTATCTATAATGATTCATTCTTTGCCAAACATCATATCATCAGCTCAGATATACTGTTGCTTGCATATTTTTGGTTATCGAAAATCAATTATATATCTATCAGCATGATGACACAACATTCGCCAAATACCATTGTAAATTATACTAAAATTTTTAGAGATCTAGTCATCAACACGTTGGAGGAGGATGACATGATCATCGGTGGAAAGAATATCATCGTGGAGATAAACGAGAACAAATTCAAGAAGAACAAGGACTTTTGGGTGGTTGGTGGTGTAGAAAGAACCAAAGAACAGAAATGCTTCTTTGTTGTAGTTGAAGATAGAAATACAACAACTTTGAGAAGAATCATCAAGAAACATGTAAAACCAGAATCAATTGTATTCACAGATTCATGGAAAGAATATCAACTCAAAGGGTTAAATCTTATTCACAGAAGAGTAAATCATTCGAGAAATATATCAGAAACATTCAGAATACACACAAACACTATTGAAGGAATATGGTCAGGACTAAAAACAATAATAGCAAAAAGAAATAGAAATCAAGACAAGATTGAAAAACATTTATTAGAATTCATCTGGCGAAGAAAGCACAGAGATAACATTTGGCAAGTGTTTATTGATATTATTAAAAATTATTAATTATTTTAATAAAATTTATTATTTTATTCTAAAATGTGTTCCATATTTCACTCAAACTTTTGTCCAACAAATTAATGTTGTTTTTATTCCTTTTCAAATTATATTCTGTAAATTTGATCTTTAGTTTCTTTATTTTATTTTTCAAATTAATAATATCTTTTTTATATTCTTCTATTTCTTTTGTTAAACGTACAATTTCTTGGTCTTTGTATTTAGGCGAATAGATAACACATTGTAGATTTTTTTCATTGCATTTAACACAAACATTTGGATTATCTTTTAATTTTACACATTTTCTTCTATGTTTTCGGCATCTCAGACATGAGGTATTTAATGTTTTTGTCTTATCGACCATCAGGAAAATTGTTAATTTTAATAAAATATTAAGCAAAACTCAGGAATTTATATATTTTTTTAAACTCACAAATTTTTATTAAAAGTTGAGAGAATTTGGTTTCACGCACTTGATAAAGTACACTACTCATCACGCAAGCCACATAAAGGCATTCTCTCGTTTTGCGTGTTTGAGTTATTCCTCGCAACAAAAGTCGACTCAGAAACAACCCGTGCTGCCTTTTAAAGTGAGGAAATGGCTAGAGACACTAAGCTCATATGATAAGCCATACCTTATCACAGCATTGAAAATTTTGACTTTTGTAGTTCAGGTACAGCTGCCAAAAGCCTAAAACAGTGTACCGAGTCGCATCTCAGCGTTATAAGCTTTAGAATTCAACCAGTAAATCCACATAGTTTGCCCCGAGATGACTGATATTTGAGAGTGCTTTTTTACTCTCTACTGTAGAAAAAAAGCCTAAAACATATCTGTTCCTCGAGACGTTTCTCAAGGTGCATTTAAATGCAAAACACTAAGTTTTTCGTTCGCTCTCGAGGTGGAGAGCAATGGCCAAAACTTAATAACGACCATCTGAAGCGATAAAAGAATGACCACTTCGCCCATTTCCTATACTTTATGAAGATGAGAGAAACACGAGTACGCTTCTCCGGATTCTTATGAAAAGAACCGGATATCTTATAGTTAAACATGCGTGGGAATGCTCTAAGCATCGTTTAGACCACGTATTCCTCATGTTTTCTTAGGTTCAATGTACAATCATCAGAAGAGCGAAAAGGTGAAACGCAAAATCGGGCGCAATCACAGGTACTTGTACTGTCGATCACACAATAAAACTACTAATTGTAGACTGGTTGATTATCTACAAAAAGAAATTATACATAATCACATGCATACAATTATATTACCAATTTTAGATTTATACAAATATAATCATAGAATGTACCAGAAACTTTATGTAGAATCACACGTTTATTTACAAAAAATAAATATAAATAAATTATTTACAAAATTATATTTAAAATACTAAATTATTTTCAGCATAATCCAACAAATCGTTATAGTCCAACAGGTAGATATGACTAAAATTTTTATTCAAAACATCTATCGTGTACTCAAAATCCTCTTCATATTGCTTTCTTCTCCAGAGCAATAAATCAAATGTATTAGCTTTGCTGTAGTACCATATCGCATCGTGAAAGACATTATAGTAACTACGGATATGTGCATCCAAAAAAGAAAAGTACATCTTGAATCTTTCATACTTTTCAGTATCTTCTCTCCTCACATCATCAATATATTCTTCATATCTTGTATAAAATCTTAAATTAAGAACAGAGAATTGGCTTTCAAAATCGACTGATAGTGTGGGAATTTCATAAGATTTTTCTTCATTGTTAGTCGACTTTGTAAACCAAGACTCAAATTTTTCGCAAATATCGTCCCAACTATCTTTTTGTTTTTGGGTTTTCTTGAAGCATTTTAAGAGTTTTTTAAAGAATTTCATATTGTAAATTGTGTTTTGTATATGTTGCGTTTGTAAATTCAAGAGTGAATTGGAGGTTGTCTCTGTTAAAATTCTTGCCATTAAATAAACTTTTCCTTTGCAAATCTCACAAATCATCTTTGTCATCACGATTACTGATTGGTTCTTCACGCGTTTAATTTGTTTATTTTTGGTTTCTTTCAAACCGGTTTCTTTAATCTCATAATTATAAAAAATATATAAAGGCTTTAAAATTATATAGTTAATCTTTGATATTATTTAAGGTGAGAGAGAGTCATAAACTGTATGATTTAATTTTAAAATATTATACTAACTTTCACTTTTACTAACTTGGCGACTTCATGGTGTAGTTGTCTCTGACTGGTATCCATAATTGTGATTTATTTACTTAAATCATTTATATTATAAATCCAGATGCCACCATCAACAATAGGTTATTACGTGGTATCAAAAGGACGTAAGACAGGGATTTTTTAGATAGAATGAATGATTTAATCAAAAAAAGAAAAGATGAACAAGCAGATAGATTAGCATATTTAGGTTCCAAGAAAACACATGTAAAAGAATTCAATTTTCCTGAACGTAAAGGAACAATAAAGGATTATTTTAAAAAATAATCCAAAATAATAAAGCTATTTTTTCAACTTTGGCAATTTCATCTCATTTAATAAACTTTTTATGTTATTTGTTTTTCCAATGATAAACAATTATGCATACGTATTGAGGGCTGTGTAGTTCTACACGATTTATCGGCGATGTGGGAGGCGATAACCAACGACGTTCAGTCATCAATTGAGGGACCCGCATCACAGATTAATCAACATAGAACCACAAAAGCACTCAATACATGCGCATAATTGCATCAACCACACCATAAGCAATTGCGAGGACAGTAGCAAAGGGGCCGCCCGCTCCTGTAGGGCGAACACTCAATTGTCAGCAGTTCATTGTTCATTTAGAAACACCTCAACTTAGTCAAATTTGTTTTAATTTCAATAAATTTTATTAAAAATAAGAAAATAAATATAAATTACAGTGTAATTTTCTCTGTTCAAGATGTGTATGAAACTAAATTTTTAGTTTTATATACATCGTGAACAGAGAAAATCAATCAGAAAACAAACAGCCAAGCTGTCTATTCTCTTTACAATTCACGTTTTTTGATCTTAGTTGCCAACAACTCATCAACAATTCTATACACATTATCAACTGCTCTATCTACATTTTGATTATAAGTATCTATTTTAAAATTTGTTTCTACTTCTCGACTGAGAAGATCAACATTCAAATAATGGATATTGTTGGTGTAATAAATATACACACCAAAACAAACAAACAAAATAAATAATAAAATAAAAATTATATTTTTAAACAACTTTAAATAGTCTTTTAAAGTTAAATTTGTTTCTTCAAGAGAATTAATTCTATTCTCATAACGTTGAAATTCTGTAGTCATTCTTTCTGTTAAGTAATTTCTCAACTCTAAATAAATAAAAGTTAATAAAATAGTAAAATTAACAGCAATAATTAAAACTGTACCTTGTTCAGAAGTTGTTTCTTCAGTAATTTCAATTTCTTCAGACATAATTAAAGGCATTTTAGTAAATTTGTTTTATTTGTTGTAAGATTGTAATAATTTTGAGATAGAAGCAGTAAAAAATTGCTAGTTTTATTAACCTGTATCTATTCTTGAAGTATTAGCAACAGCCTCTTCATATGTTGGCGAATTGTCAGGTTGACTGTTGATCTCAACATTTAGAGATGAAGATCTTCTCAAAATTGTAATTTGTTCTGGATTTTCCATATTGTTTTCGATAATGTACTGTAGAATAACGGGTGTGAAGATGATAAGAAAAAATACGGTTAAGAACATGTAAATCTGTGGAAATCTGAGAAATTTTTGTAAAAAATTGGGATTGTACGGTGCAAAACAGTATTTTTTTATAGCAATCTACGTTTGTTATCAGTAAAATCATAATTAAAACATATTAGGGCATTGTTTGTTGCTCCAAATTTAGGTTGAATGGAAGGATTGGTTGAGCGTATTTGGTTGCATATTGACCGTATGTGAAACCAGAAATAACATGTCATTACGTTGCATTTCACACATGCATATCAGATAACGGTGTTGGTTAACCATATACGGATGCATCTCCGAATGCTCCGAAACAGGAGCATGAAACCAGAAACCACATGTAGATCAGATAAACCTTTTAAACATAATAAAGAAACCTTTTTAACGTAAAATTTATTATCAATAATTGTATTACAATCTAGTTCTGCAATGCAGAACACTGTTTTAGAGCCAGGGTAATAATGGGAGCAAATGTTAATTTGCAGACCCAAAAAAAATACATGAAATGTGTTTTTTTAGTATTACCCTGGCTATCAAACAGTGTTCCAAATATATTAGCAGTATTAAAATAAAAAATCAATTATATATGTAGAGTACATATCACTTTTCGAATTTAGTGATAAAAATAGCAGAATGATCGGTGAGTATTTTTGCTCCTATCTTAAAAATTCTGGAGAGGCTTGTGGGAGAGCTTGTATTCGCCCTGAAGGATGTCGATTCCATTGGAAAGCTAAAAAACGTATCCCTTGCTCTGATTGTGGTAAACCTACCTCTTCTGCTTGTGGCCGATGCCCATTACATATCAGAGGCTATTATATTACCCAATATTATAATAAACTTCGGACTAAGGCTTTAAACGAATCTATCAGTCTCCAGACAGTTTCGAAAAAGCAGTCAGAACCCATTCTTGACTAAGAAAAAGTTGGGTCAATTTCGCGGATTTCTTCTGGATTTTTACAGGGGAGTATTAGAGTTAGATTTACATGATTAATATATTAATTTATGAGCTGCTCGAAGCCAGAAAGAGTTAGTTAACAAATTTTTCTTTTTTTTCGAATTTATAAGAATCATTAGACTTATTAATGGGGACAATTGTTTGACTTATAGGAATAATATGCTAATTAAAAATCTAGCCCGCATAGAACCCGTTCTTGACTAAGGAAAAGTTGGGACAAAAAACTCATTAGACTTATTTAATAATTCTGCTATTTAATGAGCTAGCTCGTATAGAAGCCATTCTTGTCTATAGAAAAATTCGTTAGATTTAATTAATCATGTGATTCTTGATATGCTAATTAACATTTATTTCTCTCTAGAAGCAATTCTTGAATAGTTAGAGATATTCATAAATAAATCTAACGAATCTGAAATCGTTAGACAACAAATCTAACCAAAAATTAATATAGTTTTTGGCCTTTGGGAGTCTCTAGAATATATTTCTGATATGGTTATAAATTAAACTAAAAATCGATATAGTTTCTGAGCTTTAAAAGCACATGCAATACATTCTAGAGGGTTTAAAAATTGTTAGACTTAATATATCTAACTAAAAAATCAATATAGTTTCTAGGCTTTAGAAGCCTCCAGGATTTTTTCCTGATATATAAAAATATTGATATAGTTTTTTGGCTTTAGAAGTCTCCAGAATATGATCCAATCAATATAGTTCCTGGGCTTTAGAACCCTCCAAGATTTTTTCCTAATATCGATATAGTTTTTTGGGTTTAGAAGCCACCAGAATAAGATCCTGATATACTAAAGGTCTAACTGTCCCAAAACCCCCAGAATGACATTGTGTAATGTGTCTGTTTGTTCTAGATGAAATTGGGTTTGAAAAAGCACGTACAATGGCTGTTATAAGTGAAAATGAAGAGCTTACTTGGGAAGACATTGATATAGAAACTGATGATAATAACGATAATGTAAATTCAATGCCGATATTAGAACCAGAGTCAGAAGAATCAGCAGAGTGAACAACGTATTTGATAGAGAATTCACAAAGTCAAAATTTTGATATCCTGTGTTCTCTTGGATACAATTGATGGTTGTATTCAACACTGTTCTAATAAAACAAATAGACAAAGGCCTTTAGCACAACTCATAGGAACATGGGAAATAGACCGTGATATATTTTTAAAAGCAAAGGAAGAAGATAAATTACATTCATTAGGCGTTTGTTATGCTCACTTTATATTTGACCAAAAATCACTCCACAAACCACATATTAAAAAGTTACGATCAATTGAAAAGAGTTGGATTTATAATCGCTGCTGTCTATTCTGTAATAAGTATAGGGTTTTTTTTAGTCGTGGTAATACATGTGTACAACATTCGATACATGTTAATGATCGCAATATCCAAGTGCCTTGTATTGGTTTAAAAGTCTGTTCAGCTTTTTCTTGCAATGAATTACCCGAAAATAATACTAATGCTGACAAGTCTGATGAATACCGACCACGTTTTATTTGCTCTGATTGTTTCAATTCAGAAGGAGGACATTTTTTCAAAAGAAATAAGCGAGGAAATAACCCACTTTTTTCGTGTAAGAATATGCATGACAACGATGTTACAGAAGCTCTTAAGCTTATGGGAAATTGGATATTAAGCATCTCAGAATGTGCGGAACAAGAATATAAAAAAAATATTTTATCACACTTAAGTGCAATACTTAATATTAATAAAACTGAACTACGCCTTGTTAATAATCCTCCAAGCCTATTATATATCAAGACCACATTAAGATTGAAACATGTTAATATTATAAAGATAAAGGATAAAAGCTATGACTTTACTACAGATACATCAATTAAAGTTGGAGAGGCACTTGGAATTGCAGTATTGCGATCACGTCATGAGGTAAGAGAGAATAAAAAAAAACTTGAAGAACCAGATTCTATAGAAGATTACCAAAGTGGATTTCCTTGTTGTTTATTAGGATTCTTTAAAGGACTCATTACTGTATTAGTAAAGAAAAAATTTGAAGCTGTAATACAGAAAAGGAAAGAAAGAGGTTTAGCAGAAAAGGTTTTTGATACAACCAAAGTAGCTAAAATATCAATTTTTTTAATGTCAATTATTTTAAATATCGCATTTCCTGGTACAAATGTATAGTTAACGCACATTATGAGCTCTCTTTGTCGTAAACCTAAATTACTATCTTCTCTATATAGTATTTTATGTGCAGCTAATATTGTATCTCATACACAGAGGTATGAGCGACAATTAAGTGCATCCAGAGAATAAACTTTGGAAAGGCGAAAATATTCAAAATATCGCAGTAATAGATAATATTGACCTTTTAGAGAAAACATATGCATATGGTAATATCTTTGATATGTCACGCAATACATTTCATGCTACCTTAAGGATGGTATTTCAATTTGCTTTAAAACCTTTTAGTTCTAAAACTGATACCAATAAAAATAATAACAATAATGCAATCCAAAATATTTTTGGCACATCAACATTTACCGACGATCTACTTGTAAATTTTGAAAAAATTTTCCATAATTTTTTACATACTCGACATGAAGACTGGAGCGCAAGTGATCTTCTTTATGAAATTGCACAACATACAGAGCTAGGATATCAAGTTTCACCACCTAATGTTGTAATCCTTCAACCTGGAGACAGTCCAAACTGTAATGAAAATATTCACAATGCATGTGATATGTATTTTAATGATGTAGGAGTTGAAAATAATAATCGTTTATATGTAGCTTGTGATAAAGCAATATTCCGCTGACTAATTCCATACAAAGACACTAATGAAAAAGTAGGTTTGCTTTTGGGGCAATGGCATATCTCAAAAGATATGTGTAGCACATTGATTATTATCTTTTTAGGCTATGGAATATTTAACTTAGCTGCAACTCTTGGCGTTAAGTACCTAGATAAATTAGAGAAAGTAGTAGATTATCAAGCAACTTGTCAAGTTCTAGAGTTAATTTGGGTGGCTGTTGGTATAGCAATTAGTCAATACTTAATTAGTAAGAATAAAAAGATGGATAGTATTGAAAATAGTAGTAATAAAGTGCTGAAGGTTTGGTATTATTACTTTAAATGGGCAGGATACTGGATTGGTCATAAAGTTGGAATCTGCAAAGGAAATTTTGAAATGCAGTTTAAAAACCTTTCAGCATTTTCTTCCTTATTTCCTGTAGCTGGAAAAAGTAATTACGCAAGATCTGTTACTTATTTTTTGTCATATATTAAAGATGATCCTTCACTTAAAGAATTACTTCAACATGTTTGTTCAATTAACTTAACACGCCCTGGTCACTATTTTGCACTTAATGAAGCTCTTGAACGATTCGGGGTAAATTTTGTTAAACAAAACATTAAGGGAAAACCTATTGATAATGAAGATCTTAAATGGCAGATTGCTTCTGTGCAGTCTGAAAGAGATCATTTATCTTTATTACTATCAAAATACATAGGAGATGCAATTATAGTTAAAGAGGATCGTACAATTAATTTACATAAAGAAGAATTATAGAAATTATCCTCTGAGTTGTTTAATGCTTTTTCTTCAGTAGAGCCAAAAAATCATAATCTGTTTAAATATACAAAGGAAATGAATGAAATTGGGTTTCAAAGAATATTTTCATACTATAATATTGGTATTTCACGGCTAAATGCTATTTTACGCCAAGATGTTTATAAAACTAAAGCTAAGAATGTTAAAGGTCGTCGTGCTCGCAATATTAACACATACAAATTTGAAAGTATTCAATCAACAGTAATAAATAATAATAATGATAATAAAAAAAAAAAAAGAGTCAGAAATGAAAAAAATGCAATAGAGTCTTGTCCTGTAAAATGTCTATGTCGACAAATTACTGAAAATGAAAAAAAAATTCTTAATACCATACTTGATAGTAGCAGCTTTTCTGAGGTCAAGGCTCTAGAAATTCTAGATCAACTTGAAGATAAAAAATGGGATTTGCAAAGAATCCGCAGATATTGGAATAACAATCGGTATAAAAAAAGCATCAATAATAAACAATAGTGATTAATACCAGCTTTGAGCATTCTCATATCATACTGAACCAGATAGCATTAGTGAAACATATATTGTTGGTTATCATTATAAAATGGAATTGGTGCTAAAACAGGTAAATATAAAGCATTTGGTTATTATAAAGGGTCTGCTAATAAAGGTCTTAATGATGAGATATATAGTGCTGGTTATTATGATAATAATAAAAGTTGAAGCAGATGGTCATAAATCATTCAGTAATTATAAAAAATCTGCTGATATAGATTAAATAGTTGAATTTAACATCATATGAATAAAGGCTAAAAGATGATAAGCATCTATAATTACTTTTTGGGTCTTCAATAATTTTTATTTTTAATGAAAACTTTTAGTATAAGAAGTGAGATAATTCGTGAATATTGAATGTTTGAAACCATGACAAAGTTACTTAGCGATCTTTCTAAATACTCAATTAATAGCAAATTTTGCCAAGCCAGGTGTAAAAAAAGACAGTCAGTGGCAAAAAGTTTGTAATTGAATGATAAATTCTCTTAATATGTTTTTGCTATTAAAAAATATGATAAACTTTATCAAATTATGATTATTATTATAATGACAAACTCACTTGACAACGTTTAAAATATTTTCCACCAATGCTAAGTAAATTTATTTATCGACATTTTATGATTTATTGGCTAAGGCGTTTGATAATGCCCTTTAATAAATGATATTTTATCCAGGTATGATTCTTTTTTGGAGTGCAAAAAATTACAAAAAATAAAATTAATATAGTTAGAAAAACGAGAGAAACATATCATAAAGTGTTGATTGGCGGGCCTTTATAATTTGTATCCAGGACGCTTTGAGGATTAAAATTTGGTTTATATTCGTGTATATATATTATATTATAAATAATAGTATCTTCATGCACTGAAGAATCTTCAATTGGTGTAAAACATTGAAGATTATCAAAGCTGAATGAAAAATATACGCCAGGTACATCTCAAGTCTTCGTAAATATCCGAATATATTAGCATTTTAGGCACTGAATACTAGAATAAGTATACAGAATAAATTAATGGGCCCATTCTGACTTTTGTTAGCGCTAATACATATTTTACATAGCAGGTATTTGTTTGTGGAAGATCAACAGCAAGTTTTCCGTACATGATTTATCATGTGATCATGAACCAATAGAACAAGTTTTTGATAAAGAAACTTCGTTATAAAAATATTATTATTAATTTTATATTAATATATCTGATTTATATAAATACAATTTATATTATGAAATCAAACCATATATAAAATTTTTGAATGTTAAACTTTCGGATTATAGTAATATTATTAACAGTTAGATTATTAATAGTTATATAATAATGCAGATCAATCGACATTTCATTTGACCGTTATAAAACTAACTCAAAAATAAAATAAAATTAACTCTCGCTATAATCACACTATGTGACTATTATTTATGTTTCTTTCGCTATAGTCACATAAAATTTTTGCCAGACCGTGTAACTATAGCGAGAGCAGGCTATATCATATTTTTCTGAAATTCCGAAGTAGAACCTAAGGAACGAGCAAAATTTTTGCAAAAACCCTGAAATAAAATTATATGTTATGGGCATATAAATCAGAGTTTAGAGGTACAAGACTTAAAATGGACTAAGTTTGGTGAAAATTTGCTATATATTAACTTGTACGTACGTTAAAATGGTAATTATTTAACAATGAATACCTTTTCATTCACTGGTCCATTGTGAATTATTTTACCACCAAAATGACCGCCTCGATGAGACGAGCCCAAAATCGCTAAAATCCAATCGCAAAATCCTGAGATATTTAGCTTCGGGTAAAATATTTTACCCGCAGACAACTTTTTAAATATCTTAGGATCTTGTGATTGGATTTTAGTTCGTTAGAATCTCTCATCGAGCGGTTATTTTGATGGTAAAATCATCTAAAATGATTACATATAAAATTACAATACGCTACTAATAAATGTTTTCGAAATAGCATAGTGGAAGTTCGTTTTGATTGGCGACGATCATTTATTTATACAGTCAATTGTAATTTTTAAAATACTTTTATTAGTAAAAATCATCACGTCTTAAAAAAATTTTTTTTGTAATACGTGACAAAATAATTAACTCAAGCGACCGATTTTTTATCTTTAAAACTGTTGTTTTCCAATGAAAGATATAGTGAGATATAGTAGTTCAGCAAAGTAAATGAGAAATGAAATTTTTATCGGGCTTAATAATATCGAAAAGATTGGTAGACTTTAATATATTTTGTTAGTTGAAATTTCACCTAGTTATGTACTATACCAGTTAGGGAATATACCATAAATGTACAGTGCTGATCACACCATTTATGGTAATAGAATGCTGATCTAATAGTTCCAGAAATTTCTTTATATCAATCCAAGAATGATCACTAACTAATCAAATAGAAAAAAAATTTATTATTATGCAAACTAGAATATTTCAAATCTTATTTACTTTTTTAATAGTTTATTTACTTTTTTAACGAAAGTTAACTAGAGTGGATTATTGTGGATTATTTAAACTACATGTTTTCTACTATCTATTAATGCTTTTATTTAGAAATTTTAAGCAGTAAATAAATCGTGTAAATAATTTTCTAAAACTGCTAGCAAGAAGTCATACAAAAGTCAATCAATTCTGTGCAGATTATTCTAGAATTAGATTTTCTAATTGCTCTTATTTGCTATATTCTCTGACTGTATTAGGATCAGAAAAAAAGAATCGAATCAAATTTAAATAATTTTCAAAATGTTTAAAGGTGAGAAATGTTGTATATTTTTCAGAAATTTTCAAAATTATTCATAAAAGGTCAGCTCTGATCAGCCGCCCCTAGGCTGTTCAGCCTGGGCTAGCCTCGGCCCAAGGTATTTTCATCAGCCTATATCACTAGTTGATACTCCATATGCACATACTCTATAAATGCACTTTACATGCACCTTCCCTATAATAATAAGTGCATTGTAACCCAGAAAATTCTAACCTCTGAAAATTTTATTTTTTTAAAGTAATCTTTTATTTATTTGATATATAATTATAAAAGCAATATGTCTTAATATACTTTCTCTATAATAATAAACACATAATTTTATCGGTCCAATGTAATTATTTAATATTTTATATAGATTATCCTTATAATAAATATTTTATTACCCAACAAACATGCAATTATTGAAGGTCGATTACATTGAATATAGAAAATCTTCTTTTATTTCAAAAGGGAATATTCAAAATAATGCGCAGGTCAATTAATTAGCACACAGGTAGACGTTATTTCGCACTTATATAGCAATAGAACTATGATATAAACCTATTGGCTCGCAGCTCCTTGGTCAGCTCTAAAGTTTGAGCCAAGCCATTTTTAGAGCGATACTTTATTATTATTAGTAGGCCTGGACTGAACCTGGCTTAGCCATTCGCATCAATACCTATCAGTGTTGGCATATGACCAGGTCATAACACTAAGTTCAATTAGTAAAGTCATATGACCATGGTTATATAATTGAACTTAGCAATATTATGGAGCATCTCAAGACACTTACCATTTCACGTGAATTTGTACTTACCAAGTTATTGCATTTAGTTATACATACATACTTCAATAACATGATTTCAGTAAGTACAAATTCATGTGAAATGGTAAATATCTGGAGATGCTTCCACGATATTACTTGTCATGACCTGGTCATGTGCCAACACTGTGACCCATACCATACTAATATTCTGTAATTCCATATTAGTGTGCAGCGATCTCATTAATTTACAACCCATGATAAACTCAGTAGGGTTCCACATGGGCCGGGCTAAGCCAGATATTTTAATATCCATTAAGAAAATATACCAAATATTTATATCAAAATCCAGCCCATATTTAAGTGATAAATCCAAGCCCGGCCCATGACATCATAGTACAATTCAAGTTAATTTTTACAAAAAAAATTTTTGCAACCAATATTATTTTTGGTAATTATAATTGCAAATTTATTTTATGCAATTGATATTTCATTTACATACAGTAGTTTAAAATTTATTTTACCATAAAAATATATATGCTGTTTATAATATTTAGATAACAAATTTCTTTGACAACCAATTACTTGACATAAATTAAATAATTCTACAGCAAACTAAAAATTTGCTCTGACTATCTAGATAAGGTTAGAAATTGATAATTTTTGATTTCTACTAATCAAGTATATAAAATAAATACATTTGTATAAGTATATTGAAATAAAAGTAAGTTGTGTTTATATGTATATATAAAATTAATTTCATGTGCTGACATGTATAGTGATAGAATTATTGTAAAATTATATCTTTGTATTTTTTTAAATTAAGAAGTTCAAATGATAATTCTAGATTTTAGACTTGTAAATATTAAAGAGTCTATTTGAAATTTTATTACTTTTTGTATATATGTAGTTCACATATAATTTAGATAATAAATTGTACTATTTGTCGCCCCCAAATAATTGCTATCTTGGGGTTTTATAAAAAAAAAAAATTTAATAACTTTAAAGTAATTTCTTTAATTACTGATGTCAATATTGGTATTTGAGATTTGTAATTAACATCTTTGCAGAAACCTTTAATTTTGCCAAATATAAATATAATAGATGGTAAAAGAATAACATGATGTTCCCAATTACCGATATTTGTTATTCTTATTTTAGTAAACAGATTAAAATCCAGGATTTTAAATTTTAATGAATATAGAGAAACACAACACTTAACACACAAGACTAGTTTAATTATAAATAGAAAAGTACACAAATGACAACAATATATAGCTCTGCCTAACTTCGCTTAGCCGAATTGCTAATCTGATTCTTTCTTTTTACATTACAAACAATATCAATAATTTTTTTTTATATAGCATTTGGTCTCGCTTCACTTAAGGGTAGAAGATACTATTTGCAAATTATATATTAAACTAATGGTAATTTTTTTTAAAAAAAAAATCAAAGAAAATTCTATTAATTAATCTGGTTTTAAATTCTTATTAAAAGATGTAGAACAGGTTTTTCTAATTCTAACAGTAGTAAAATCATTAAAATTGGTTAGATATTCATTGAGATACATGTATTTAAATATTTAGTATTATAAATTGTTGATAAAAATCATATGATGATCATATGATATAAACCAATCAAAATCAACGATTTTGTGTAACCATGGAAAATTTGAACTGACTCCGGAAAACTTACAATATATACAAGTATATTTTTTTAAAATATTTGATTTATTAAAAATTTTACTATTATAAAGAATAGATATTAATCTATATAATATAAAAATTTTACAAAAATTAATTAAAACAGTAAAAAGTTTTATTAGTAGCATATTTTATTTTTTATAAATGATCTATCCTCTACCCTTAAATTTTTACTTATCAAATCCATATTATATGAGTGCCGGCAAGGGAAAACCTGTCATCGGGCTTTCAATAATATTTTGTGTACAGTTAGCCGTCTAAGGAAAATATATTATAATAATAGATTTCCCATAGACGGCTAACTGTACACAAAATATTAGTAAAAGTCCGATGACAGATTTTTCCTTGGCGGCACTCATATTTATAAGGTGTTATTTTTTTCTGCAGTATATTTCTTGAATCCTTCGCTGGCCCTATTTAAAAACTTCATACTTTTTTATTTTTCTGACTAAACATTATCATGCAGTCAGCTTCGCCGTCTGCTTTAATAATCATGTATATAGAAACAATGTTGTATAGTGTAACAATAATAAATTAATAGTTTTCATATTTCTAAATTAATTTGAATGAAATGAGAAGCATTACTTGATAGTAAATATTTATGAACTTGAATAATTTATTTCAAATATCTCAGTTTATAAACATTTATTTTTCACTTACTGTACTCCAAATTAACATGAAAGTAATAATGAATAAGATGAATTCAAACAACTTGATTAGAGATTCCGAATCGTGCAATGATCCTGATTTATGCGCGTTTTATCCTATCCTTAAACTTGATATAATAACTAAATATCTTATCTATTTTATTGGTATAATAAAGCAAAGTTAATGAAGTTGTACAAAGATAAATATTCATGAACTTAATAAATTAGAAGCTTCATAAATTAATCTAGATGAAAATGAATATTTAATGCGAATAAAATAATATTAAACCAATATAAATATTTAATTAATATGAATTGGATTATATGCTCTAGATTTCTAATACCGCATTTTGCAGGGGGTAATTTCAAAAATTGGCCAGAATTAAGCTTAATTCAGGTCAAAATTCTAAATAACGCCCCTGAATTTGCTAAAATACGGTAAATAATAAATAATTAATCAGTTCTGATCAATTCATCGACATTAATTTACAGACAAGCTTATTTTTAATGTCAATTAATTCACAGGCAAGTTTATTTCATAAACACTAAATTTCACCAATAGCTTGGTTTACTGACAAAGTAATTATAAACATTGTTGTTAAGGTTAGATTTAGAATTAGAATTAAGGTTAGTGTAATTTATAATAAGAAATGGTTAGTGGAATGAGCTATCAATAAAATATGATGTCTATGAAATTAACTTGTCTGTTGATGAACTAAGTTGTCTGTAAAATGCATCGGGCGACTTCTAATGCACTAAATTTATGACGTAATGTCTATTTATCGATATTAAATTGAAGATCGTTTTCAAAATAAATTTTAATAATAAAAAGTGAAAGGTTTACCGATAAAAGAGATGTGTTTTGAGTAGGGATGGCAAATGTTTTTTTATTATGTAATTAAAAGACAGGCGACCATTATTTAGACTTTAATCATCACATCTTTTAAACAGGTGAAAAAATGGGGAAAAAATTTTTTTTACCATCCAAGTTTTGAGGTGGGGAGATGGGTTTGACGTAATAATTATATAGTTTTATTGGTTTTGGGGTACAGTTTTATATATGAGCCATGTGTTTGACGTATATTTGATGCAAAAATACAATCAATCAAATAGTAATTCGAGGTTTTTGATTCCAAAAATGCGGCCGAATGGATTGTTTAGTTAATTTAATTTATAAATATAAATCTGACAAAATTTTTATTAAAAAGTCAATTAATATAAATGCAACTAATTAATTAAATGATTAATTTATTAATTAGTTAGTTAATCAATTAATAGTGAGTTAAAATTATTGATCAATTAGTTGTAAACTTAGCCGACTAAATAATTAATCAATTTTTGATACATATTATTAGTCTGATGTTGCGATTTTTTTTTTTTTTTTTTAAAAAAAACATTTTTAATACTTTTAAGAAAGATTTTTTTGATAATTTTTCATATTATTTTAATAAAATATCCGAAGGACAAGATTACAAAAGATTAGTTTGGGATGTATGACCTAAATTGTATGATATAGAGCTGTAAAAACCTGTTTTAAAAACAATACTGCCCCACAATACGAATCTAGTCATCCGTTCCATACTGACTTGGGTAACTTGGTCGAATGACTATATTCAAATTAATTGTTGTTTATTTCTACCCTATAAAAAAGTCGATCCGGTATTATATCCATGTTTTTTCCGTAAATGTCGCATATTTGCAGAATTTATAACCTTAAATCATGGAGATTATTCGGCTTGTTTGGATTTTATTGATCACGTTGCAAATACACGGAGTTTTCACAAAAAATATGGAAATATTCGGATAAAATTTCCTACAGGGTATCAAACAATAAAAATTACATTATAAACAACCAAAAAAAATCGGAATTTGCTAACACAAAGACATCGGGTATACTATTGCTCTATCGGACATTTATCTATATTTTGCCGTTTATCTTGAATGCTAAGTTATTGTTGAAGTCTAGAGTTTCATATTCTTTGCCCATAAAAGTGTCACCATGACCTGAACCTCAGTTTTCCATTAGTTTTACCCATGATGCCCTCCCAAAACCAATGGCAACACCGCCACTTTTCTATTTACTGTATTGCACAGATATCGATAACCTGCACAATTATTGCTACGAATTGAACGCCATCTGCCTAGCCCTGTCTTTAGCCGCTTACTTTCCTGACAGTCATTTCCCCTACAATGATTTGCCTACACATAGGGCTAGGATTAGCATTTGATTGGTTGCAAGTATATGTTGTTAGTAAATTGTCACCTGTGTGTTGGCCTGTAGGGGAAGTACGTACGTACGTACGTAGCAGTCATCTGCGCAGTTTCCCCTTGTGCTATTACTTTACAAAACTTTAAAAAACCGAAATTAGAAATAGATGTAAATTAGTATGCACGTATGTACGTAGCAGTCATCTGCACAGTTTCCCCTTGTGCTTTCCTTTGCAAAACTTAAAAAAAATTGAATAAACCGAAATTAGAAGTAGATGTAAATTAGTATGTACTGTACGTATGTACGTGCGTACAAATAATTCTAGCCAATAGAAGTTAGATTTGCGGAAAATTAAGCAAATACAGAAATAATCGAAAGTGAGCTAACTTGAAAAAGAAAAAAATGCACGAATCCCAGGCTGGTCATGACACCGCACCAGCATTAAGTAACACAAGACATCTATATTTTATATATAGTATATATATACTGTTAAATATAAAATTTATTTAGCATAACAGGTAGTACTTTATTTAGTGAGCGAAGGATGATATCATTAGTAATTTTAGATTAACTTTGAATGTAATATTTATGAACAAATAATTTACATAAAAAATGAGTCATCGTTAAGTGGTATGTTATTCTTACTGAATAGTATTGTACCTAATACTACCAATTTACATTTTTGGGAATGCCATAAACTGTGTGTGACTATTTTTATCGTACGTACATACGTACGTGCGCACACGTATATTACAATAATTTTGTAATTGATAAAAAGTAGATAAAGAAGCTATTAAAGAGAAACAAATATCTATTATGAATATAGAGCTTTTTAAAACCTTCTTTTATATAAATAAGTTTTCCCTGGATTGCTTTTATAAACGCGTGTATTATGGAATATTTTGATGCTAATTTTATGTGGTGGTTTATTATATATTAAATGAAGAAGCTTTAGTAAACGACATTACAATTTATCTTCAAAAAGATGGCAAATGACAATTGTTAAAAAACCATATATACGTATGAGAACACAAAATATTATCAATTTACTACGATTTTTATTAGTAATAATTAAATTAATATCCCCTCATACTGAATTTGTTAATTTGAATTGTTTTAGAGTAACGTTGCTCTGAAAAACAGGTCTCGGTATGATTTTTATCCGAGCACAGAACGGCTACTATATTTTGCAATTTAGCCGAAACCGTTTAACCTTGTGAATTTAAGTATATACGCACATACTTTAGTACGAACATACGTACATACGCACGCATAAATTTTAATGACTTTACCGAGACAATTTTATATAAACCTGCATTATAATTTTAAATTCTGTACTTTTTCTCATCAGCAAAAAGTCTATCATAACATTTTTCATGCAATTATAGCTTCTATAATTATATTGAATATTGTTAATTTAATTTAACGAATACAACATTAATAATTTAGTTACCTAATGTCTCAAGACGAGAATAAACTTCAGGCATCCGAGTCTACAAACGTAATGGATGATCCAAAAGTTAAAGATATACCACAATTGTCTTCCGAACCTGTATATGTTGTAGAAAAAGAGCCTGCAAATGTAGAAGAAAAAGAGCCTGCAAATGTAGAAGAAAGAGAGTTCGCAAATTATGCAGAAAAAGATCATAAACCTCAGTTATCTTCCGATAATAATGTAGCACTAGAAGTTTCTGATACTAATAATGTTAATAAACCAAAATATGAAATGGCTAAAACTGAACTTTTACTAGTTTTTGTCGGGTATACATTATAATTATTTTGATAAATTTTTAAAGAAATTTAAAAAATATAAATTCTAATACTTTGAATACACAGTCTTGCACTGGCTATATTTTTAGCTGCTTTGGATCAAACTATAGTTGCTACTGCTTTACCAGCTATTGCAATAGAATTCAACGCCATTGATCAAATCTCATGGGTTGGAACGGCTTATTTACTTACTGCGGTATGTTTGATTCAATATCTATACACATTTATAATGTAATTCAACTCGATGCCGGGGTTGATACGAATTGAAATTAATTAAATCATTGTTAAAATTTTGAAACAATTATTCAATTAATTAATTAATTAACTGCAGCATGAATAAATCATGCGGTAATGCAGCTAACTAAGTAACAAACCTTAATCGGATGTCGACTTTGCCAGCAGTAGTTTTATTACCATGAAAGTATTAACATTGTACATATCTATCAATAGACCGGTTTCCAGCCAACATATGGTGCACTTTCAGATATATTTGGTCGAGTGAGCATTATTATATTATTATGTTAAATAATATTTATTATCCATATTTTCATATAATAATTAAGATTCGTATTTTTTTTAATGTAGAAATACGTTTTCCTCGCAGCAATATTTTTATTCGAACTTGGTTCTCTTTTATGTGGTCTATCCGTTAATATGGTACTGATTTTATTAATTTTTGAATAATTTTTTTCTTACATTTTATGCTAATATACACATATATAAATTTTATAGACCATGTTAATCATATCGCGTGGCGTTGCTGGCATAGGGTAATTTCTTTAATTCCAATTTGTTAATAATTAGTGTTTTTTTTTTCTCTTAAAATTAATAAATTATTTGATTATTAGTGGGGGCGGTCTTATAGGGTAAATATTTCCTTCTTTTCTTTTCTTTTCTTTTCTTTTTTTTGAGAATTTAATTATGTTATCTAATTTCATTTTTATCAATTCTCCAGAATGATATTGATTATTATTAGTGAAATAGTTTCAATCAAAGACCGTGGAAAATACCAAGGAATGATAGGTGGTTGCTTTGGTATTGCGTCTGTTGTGGGTCCACTATTGGGTGGTGCTTTTACTGACAAGGTCACATGGAGGTTTGTATTTATAATTACTTAAATACTATTTGATGATTATCCATTTAACATACTTGTAGATGGGCATTTTTTATTAATCTTCCTCTAGGTGTCATCACTTTTTTTACTGTTGTCTTTCTATTGCACCTTCCAATTCCTACTGGCTCTCTTTGGGCAAAACTTAAACTCATTGATTGGTTGGGTTCTTTTACTCTGGTTGCTTCTACTATTCTTTTGCTACTACCACTTAATTGGGCTGGTTCAACTTATGGTCAGTCTATTTTAAAAATATTCCTTATATTATCTCATTATTTTGTCACATGTAAATTTTATTTTTTATTGAATTTCAGCATGGAGTGATCCTATTATTATAGTTTTATTATGTTTAGGTGCTGTTGGATATATCATATTTATTCTTATTGAAGCAAAGTTTGCTGAAGTGCCAATTGCTCCCCGTAAATGTCCACTTTTCCATTATTTTTTCTGATTACACTAATATATTATCATTAATAATTAATAATTTATAATTTATTAGTTCATTTATTTAAAAACTATAAGGTAGCTGCATGTTTTAGTGTAAATATCTTTCATGGAATGACTTTTTTTGCTTTGATCTTCTTTGTACCACTTTATTTTCAAGTTGTCAAATCTGAATCTGGTAAATAAGCAATTTTATTTAATACTTCACTATGATCAGTTTATAAAATAAATCAATTATTTTATGGTATTTTTAAATGATAAAATA